GCTGAAAGACCATGGCTTACCTTGATTTAATGACTCTCCTGTTTCCACATGTTATACTGTCACACATCACAAAGGCAGCAGGTTAAGATATTTGTGTTGGAATCTCGTGTAACAAGTGAGTTTAATTTTTTCCAACATGTAACGAGTGAGTGAAATAAGATCTAAATAAAACCCAAAGCCTCACAGATTATCACTTATTCCAGTATGCCATTTTTCAAAAGGAATGTGAAACATCTTCATCACATTCCATATACAACTGTTTTCATGATAATGAAACATTTATTGAGTACTCATTGAATATTGACAGTTATTCTTCATGGTATATTGTCTCCCAGGGAATGGCTGTGCTAAGCATGATGTTGTCTGCCTATAGCCAGTTGATGAAACATTGGCCACTGCTCCAGAACAGGCAAGTTTAATTGTGGGTAAGCATTTAAAAACTTTCATAGCAATTTGATATTGCTGCAGGTTCACAACAAATGATAAGTGGACTAAAACAACTGAGCAGGTGTGGTCAAACTCAGGGGGTGAGCAAATGACACACTAGTTGCACAGTAAAATCGCATTACATGATATGTTTGTCCACTGGAACCCAGGTGTATTTAAAGTTTACAACATATTTTGGGATCAAATGATAATTGTAATTGCTTCTATTCTACCAGATAAACTTTGGAACTGTCTATTGACACAGAGTGAAAGACATGGTTTAAAAATAAAATATCACTTGATTCATTTTATATAATAGCTCAAAATGAATATACTATGATTGCTAAAGTTGCAATACACCCAACAAACCAGCACATGCATCCTCTAAACTAAAATAAAAAGTTAAAAGTATAATAGACAAATAAACCATGTAAACATACATATTTATTGAAAAAAAATGAGAATAAAACAAAATAAGTAGAAAGAAAAAGATAATTTGGAGATAATCACTGTTACACAATAGACAATGTGATATCACAAACTATCAATGCTGTTTTGAAGTCACTTTGTTCACTTTTCCAGATAATGATCAAGTCAGTAAACACGTATATACATTCTGGTTCTAGTGACTGTATAAGTTACCACTATATGAATGTACCTGGGGAAATAAACATATTACTGTAATATTCAACATGAAAATATTAATAGAGTTGGGACTCAGAAAATGATACCTCGAAATACGGCGCAGTGGCATGCTGAGTACTTTGAACTGACTAAGACATTGGAAGGCCTCTGGTCATCTTAGAAGCAAAGTCTACATCTGACTTTTTTTGCCTTCCTGTCTCCTACCTCTCTGCCAACCCTGAAGCAAGTCAAAGAAACCAGAATTCCTTTACTCCAGGACAGGTTATAAAAACTAGCATCACTCTTTCCAAGCAAGCCATAAAATCTAGAAATATTCTAACCTTCCTCTACTTTTCTGTGTAGGAGCTGTCACAAGGAAACGCAGTGACCTACCTTTGTGATAAGAGATTATAAGACCCACTTTCCAGGGGAGTTTTGCCTTATATCTGGGAGGATTATATGTTATACAGGGAGAACAAGAAAGATCTGAACAGATAAGCCTTGCTGGGTTTCTCCCTCATTTTATTATGATTAGAATATACCCTTTTTGCTCAGTCACATTTCAATACACTGCCCATACTTTATTGAACCTAAGCAAACAAATGGACAGTTTTCCCTAGGACATTGAGTCTGCATTTTGGAAGTCTTCCATGTGACATAAAACTTTGATTAAATACATGTGTTATGCTTTTCTCTTCTTAACTGGTCTTTTGTTACAGCAGTGTTGGCCATCACCTTTATGATGGGTGAGGAAAGCTATCATAACTTTCCACCGTACAACAGCAATGAGGACTGTTAAAATGGGATTGTCAAGGAGGTACTTGATAAATATGTTAGGTATGAGGATGACGCATCAGAGTGAAACAATGAAAGAGGTCAAGTTTTATATGTCAACATCAGCCTCTGCCTTTTTATTAGGTGTGTGTTCACATAAGTTTCTGAGTTAAGCCTCAGTTTTCTGGGGTTAACTTTAATGTCATATGCAGTCCTATGAAATATGTTCATAAAGCATCCATCACAGAGCCTCAGTAGAAGGCACTCAATGTTAGATATTTCTTTGGTGATCAATTGATTATCAAATGTGTGTGGATAGATGAATAATTTTAAATAAGATGGGTTTTCAGGTTTCAAGCTGACAATGTTAGAATAAAGATGCTATAAAAATGGAGATTTCAAAGATATGAGTATATTTGGGGTAAGCCGGTTTTTAAGCTAACCATAAATAGGAGCACCCATCCAAGGCCGCAATGATGTTCTCAGATATATTTTTTGAGACCCAGCATAATGAATGGCATTGCCTCACTGTAACCTACACATGTCAGGGCCATCTAGACTCCCTCCTTCCCTTTGACCAAAATACATCAGCATTTCTATGATGACCTCCAATAATTAATGATGCTTCCAAATAAGCTTAGCTCAAACTCCTTCAAGTAACATGTACTAAGAAAAGCTGTTGAGACATCACTTGAGAATAAAGAAAAAGCTCACATGTTACATTTAGATATAATTGCTGATAATGAGGCCAAGGTAACACAACCTATTCATATATTTCCTATTGTATTTCCAGGCTATGTGAGGAACATGTAAATAGGCCAAGTATCTAGCACTTGCTGGAAAGATCTGGGTTGAATAGAAGAACAGATTCATTCCTGTACTTGAAAAGTAACTCAGTGCACACACAATCTATTGACAATGAGTCAGTTCTTTTGATGGTATTTATAAGACTCCATGCTTTCAGAGTTTAGGTTCTGTTTAGCCCAACTTAAAGAGTTGTCTTTATGTCAAATTATTTATAAAAATTATACATTTAGGCATAACTTAGAACATTATAATAACACTACAGCTTTGTCGCAGAATGCCTTCTCAGGATCAAATTTATCAATGAATAATAAAGAAATTACTTGAAAAATGATAAACTCCAAATATATTATTTTGGTAACCTGTGAAGTATAAGAGTAGAAGCTGTGTCCTAGATACTGAAATATGGCTTAATTTAGCATGCAGTTCACTACTTAAATATCTGTCCTGTCCTTTGGAGCTTCAATATCACAGTGTCAGTTATACACAGGAGTAAATGCCTCTAAATAGTCCAAGCTAACCTGAGAAGGGAGATGAGACCCATAGTTTTTCATGCTTTCCAAGTCAAAGACTACAAGATTTCTATAATTTGTCCAAAAACATGGTGAATATAACTAGATTATTCAGCATTTCAAATCTGACAACTTATAATACTATTTTTTAAAAATTCTAGCAATTTCCATTTTGTTATTACTCTCAGTAGAAAATATTTGCTACAAAGTAAGCAGGTGATTGGCATAATTATAATCACACATTAGAATAATAATTTGTGAGAGATTTGTGTATTTGGACAATTTTTGGGTGATAATTATCTTTTTTTTTAGCCTTCTTTAGTTATAGCACTCGTTACAGTGTATATCTGAAATAATCACAGTGTAAAGGTAAAAATATAGCTAGCCTCAAATTTACAAACTATTCAAAATAAAAATAAACAGGTTTATGGAGAAAAATGCTACCTTGTATTCTTTATCCATAATATCATCACCACAATACACACTTATCTTCTCATTGATTTCAATCAAAATTTAAGTTTATGTAAAATGAGACTGCACATCAATTAAAATAATTCATTCATTTATTCAAAAAACAAATTTCAAATGCCTGCAGATCTCCAGGAGCCATATTAGTGTCAAGTAAACACATGTGATTTGACTCTTGCCCTCATGGGTTAAATTACATTCTCTTTACAGCTTCCATAAATTAAAGTTTAATTCACCAACATAAATGCACTTAATTAGAGTAAGAGAGAGGAAGGAATGGACTGTAAATATGATGATCTTTGTAAGCTGAAAAGGCAGAACTCCTTTTATCTATTATATGAATAATATACTCTATGCCTTGAAACTAAGCAAAGATACTATGCCCAAATAAAGTGAAGAGTAAATATTAACAGCTATTCAATCATAATGATTAGTATAGTTGGCTGAATTAGAATAATCAAAGGAATAAATACTGGTTCATCAACACATTATGCCCTTACTATCTTCCATAAAGACAAAGCAAATCCATGAAGTCACTTGGTGGTTTTATTTTCTTACTTTTATGTCAGAGATTGACTTAAGGGAACCTAAGGAGGCTTTTTTTGCAGGCCAGAAAAAAAAAGTGCTATATATTTCCATGTTTTTTCCAAGTCCTTCCAACTTTTCAAAGTCTCACTAGTTTGTAACACCAACTTAAAACGGAAAACCACAAAGAGAAAAACAAAACCAATCATATTGTCAAATTTGAAGCACTTAGCATTTCTACATACAAGCTCCCAAAATGTACACTGCTACACTAAGAAGGATTATCTAGGGATATGCTAGAGATGTAATATATCCTTAAAGTCATATAACTAATGATCATGAGAAAGCAGCAGACACAAAACTGTCAATTCAACTTTTGCCAAATAATTTATTGATGCCCTACCTTAGGAATTTATTTTTTTTCACAAGAACCAAGGTTTTACTTTAAATAATACCCATGTAATCTTTGAAGCACACTTTCAATTAAAATATTAACTAAAAAATATTTTTTTTTTTTTTTTTTTGAGACAGCCTCTCTCTCTCATCCAGGCTGGAGTACAGAGGTGTGATCTCAGCTGACTGAAACTTCCACCTCCCAGGTTCAAGCGATTCTCCTGCCTCAACCTCCTGAGTAACTGGGATTACAAGGACCCACCACCATGCCTGGCTAATTTTTGTATTTTTAGTAGAGTCAGGGTTTCATCATGTTGGTCAGGCGGGTTTCGAACTCCTGACCTCACGTGATCTGTCTGCCTTGGTCTCCCAAAGTGCTGGGATTACTATACTCAGCCTACAAATATCATTTTAAAAATTTTTAATTATATAGAACTCAAAATAAATAAGGTGTTTAAAAAGGTATACACATACCATTGATCCATCGAGCCTCCGGATCATGAAGCACAAAGTCTTTCCTAAAGAGGTCTTCTAAAGACAATCTGGTTTCAGATGAATTTGTGAGTTCATCTAAAATAAAGGAAATTGTAGATTAGATACCTATTTTATGTTCATTTTTTTAAAAGGAACAAATTACAAAATTTGAAACATTTTCTCAAAAAATATATTAACTAGATAACAGTATAAAAGTGACCATTTTGACATGGTTTTTATCATTTGAACTTTGTTTAATGACTTTTTAAATAAATGAAACTATTTTTATTATTTAAATTGTCTTGATCTTGTACAAATTTTATAGAGCAATCCATGTTATGTATTAGTAATATAATATGAAATCAGTTAAGAATTCCTGTTGTACATTGTATCCAAAAAGGCAGATTTTCTATCATTTAACTATAATTCAGCCCCTTTCCAAACTCATGTTGACATATTCTTTCATCTGAAATGTACAGTTTTGATGTAAAAGCAAAAAATGATAAAGTTGAGGAATTTAAACTCTATGACAAAACTCTCAAGTCAGAAAAAAGTTCACCAAGTAAGCAGAATAATTAACTACTTCCACCAAAAAAGTAGTACCCAACAAATACAAAGTGCATTTGACATTTGACTTAAAGTTCAAATAATAAAATACTAGAATATTAATGACCACGCACATGCTTTATACTAGTCTTTCATAGATAAGCTAGGTGTGAACCTCTTTCTATATTCTAACATCAAAGAAATGAAAAGATAATAGGGCTTAAATACTAAAATCAGGCATCACAAACACCCTTTTAGATGCAAGAGGCTATAGACAGCAATACTGCATTTTCTTTGTAAATTAATAGCATTGTTTATTTGCTGTATAAAATTCATCTTTGTAACCTTTCAGCTGTGACCTTCACTCTGGTTTAAAATAAAATGTCAAGGATATATACTAACCTCATTAGATTTTATTTTTAAAAGGTTCAACACTTACTGCAGCAAGAGCTTTGCTTTTTTTCTAGCTAAAAAGCTGGGGCAAACAGTCAATAACTTCAAATGCAATTCCCTTTCAGATAAATCAATCATATATCTAACCTACAAAATAACTGTCAAGAAAAAATTGAAAAAAATATTATAGTAAAAATAGTGAGAATTGTTTGATTCTAGTTTTAGCATAAGACATTGTGATTGTGTAGAGACTTGCAAAACAAAATGCTATCAGGTAATGATAAGTATTTGATCATTTGCCTGGCAGGCTGACACACCAGAATTTCTGAATTCATTCACAAATTTTCTAGTTTCATTTGAAAAATTTCAAGGCTATATGTGCAGTATTGTAAGGACAGGAGACATATTTCTGTCCTGCCCTGAGGGGTTTGCACATGCTTAACAAAAAATGTAACAGATGTCAGGTGGGGTGCAGTGGGTCACACCCATATCTCAGCTCTTTGGGATGCCAAGGTGGGTAGATCACTTGAGGTCAGGACTTTGAGAACAGCCTGGCCAATGTGGTGAAGTGCCGTGTCTCCAAAAAATATATATATAACACAAAAAATTAGCCTGCTGTGGTGCATGCCTGTAGTCCCAGCTACTTGGGAGGCTAAGGTGGGAGAATTGCTTGAACTCAGGAGGTAGAGGTTGCAGTTAACTGAGATTGCACTGCTGCACCACTACACTCCAGCCTGGGTGACAGGGTGATACTTTGTCTCAAAAAAAAAATTACATGAACATATGTATATATACACACACACACACACACACACATACATGCATACACATATATATATATGTATGTATGTATGTATGAATAAGGATATCATCAGTATAAGGACACTAAATGAGTGCTAAATAAGTTTGGAAACAGAAAGAGAATGTCTCAAAAAAAAAAAAAATCAGAGAAGGCCTCACTTGAATATACAATGACCAACTCTAATTCCTGGATAAGAATGAGAAATGGTACAGTCACTTTGGAAGATAGTCTTTTTTTTTTTTTTTAAACTAAATAAATCCTTATCATACAATCCAGTAATCATGCTCCTTGGTATTTACCCAAAAGGAGTTGAAAATGTATTCATTCAGAAAAACCCACCCACAAAGTTTGTAGGGGCTTTATAAATAATCAGCAAAATTTGTAAGCAACCAACATGTCCTTCAGTAGGTGAATGGCTAAATAAACTAGACACATTTTTAAAATGGGTTATTATTCTCTGCTAAAAAAAAAAATGAGGCCGGGCGTGGTGGATCAAGACCATCCTGGTCAACATGGTGAAACCCCGTCTCTACTAAAAATACAAAAAATTAGCTGGGCATGGTGGCGCATGCCTGTACTCCCAGCTACTCAGGAGGCTGAGGGAGGAGAATTGCCTGAACCCAGGAGGCGGAGGTTGCGGCGAGCTGAGATTGCGCCATTGCACTCCAGCCTGGGTAACAAGAGCGAAATTCCGTCTCAAAAAAAAAAAAAAAAAAAAAAAAAAAAAGAGCTACCGGCCGAGCGCGGTGGCTCACCCCTGTAATCCCAGCACTTTGGGAGGCTGACGCGGGTGGATCACGAGGTCAAGAGATCGAGACCATCCTGGTCAACATGGTGAAGCCCCGTCTCTACTAAAAATACAAAAAATTAGCTGGGCATGGTGGTGCATGCCTGTAATCCCAGCTACTCGGGAGGCTGAGGCAGGAGAATTGCCTGAACCCAGGAGGCTGAGGTTGCTGTGAACCGAGATCGCGCCATTGCACTCCAGCCTAGGTAACAAGAGCAAAACTCCGTCTCAAAAAAAAAAAAAAAAAAAAAAAAAAAGAGCTATTAAGCCATGAAAAGACATGAAGGAAACTTAAATGCATATTACAAGGTGAAAGAAGCCAATAAGAAAAGGCTACATAGTGTATAATTTCAACTACATGACATTTTTGAAAAAGCAAAACTATAGAGACAGTAAAAGTATCAGCAATTGCTGGGAATTGCAAGGGAAGGAATGAACAGGTGAACACAGAATTTTTAGGGTGGTGAAGTTATTCCATTTGATTCTATAATGGTGGATACATGTCCCTATTTACTTGTCCAAATCCACCGAATACACTCCACTGAAGAGTGAACCCAAATGGACTTTGGGAGACAATGATGTGTCAATACAGGTTCATCAGTGATAGCAAATGTGCCACTCTGGTGGGGGATTTTGATAATGGGAGAAGCTATGCATGTATAAGGCATGGGGTGGGGGCGGGGCGGGAGAAGAAAATATGGGAAATTCCTGTACTTTTCACTCAATTTTGCTGTGAATATAAAATTCAGCTGAAAAATAATCTATTAGCAAAAAAAATCTATTTAAAAAAGCCCTGTGTATTACTGGTTTCAAAAGGCAGAGGAAGGGAACAGTAATGGAGTAAGAACATTTGAGATAAAAGGATAAGTGTATGTTGTTTCACAAGCCAAAAAATGTCTTAATTCCAGATTTCAGCTTCCATCAGAAAAGTATGGTATTTTAATCAGATGAGCTCATTTTATTAGGGTTTCAGTAACATATTTATTCTATGAGACCTATATCTATATCAAACCTTGGTTTTATTGAGATAAATTTCAAATTTTTTAAATTTCCCTATCACATAAATTTACCATTATTTGTCTAATCAGATCCCTTTGATTTTTAGAGAATTATATTTGATCATATATATTTGAAAAACAATTTATTAGATACGATGAATTTAAATAGGTAAAGGTGGGAGGTAGGCATGTGCTTATTATGCTAGCACAATCTGTTAAATAAATGAACCTAATCTGTTAAATTAAAAAAACCTATATTTTATATATAAATATCTTTTATAGTCATGCATCTGTTTGTTCTCCAAAAATATTTAGTTTGTTCCTAATGAGTCTCACGTATTTCATTTACATTTTTAAGAAAAAAGTGAATTAATAAAAAATAAGGCTGTAAGTACACCACAGCAAATAATATTATTTTCAAAAAATATTTTGGTAACTTTCAAACATGACATCCTTCATGTGAGCTTTAAAATCATATTACAACTCATTCAAATAGAAATTTCATTAAAATAGCACTATACATATATTATATACATATACACACCCAGAGGAAACTGGAAAATTTTAAACATTGCACAACATTAAGGCTTTTCATTCAGAACTATTCTATCCACATTTTATGTACATTAACACTACTTTATCTTTGATTTTTCATATAAATCTTCAAATTGAATTTGGTACAAAGTATATATAGTTTGGTATTGTGAACAGAACATTTCCCATTCTCAATCTAAATTACTTTTATATCCACAGGTTAATAATTACATTATACACCATATGTTTTCTTAAAAATTTCAATAATTATTGAGTTTTTATTTTCTACATATTCAATTATATCAACTGTAAAAATATTATTTTATTTCTTTCTTTCTTTTCCAACGTTTAAGCAACTGGTTATACTATGTATGCATTTGCTTCCCAGCTAATTGAAGATTCATATGGAGTTGCAGGAAATATTACAGAGAAATTCTGTGTACCCTTCATTCAGTTTCTCTCAATGACAAGTAACATCCTGCATAATAATATCACAAAAAGAAACAGGTATTGATATGCTCCATTAACTTTACTGAGATTTCCTCAGATTTACATGTATTCACTCATGCATGTGTGTTCTTGTGTGTTTAGTTCTATGCAACTGCAACACATGTGACGTGCACCACAGTCAAGAACAGTTCCATCACCAGGATCTCTTGTGCTATCCTTTTATTACCACAGTCCCAGACACAATCCCTTGGTAACCACTGCTCTATTCTCCATCCTTAAGATTCTGTAATTTTAAGAACACTATATAATTGGAATCATACCTTTTGGATTGACTTTTATCACTCAAAATAATTCCCTTGAGATCTATCCAAGTAGTTGAGAGTATCAATAATCTATTCCTTTTGATGGCTGAGTAATATTCCAGGGTATTAATACACCACTCTTCGTTTAACTCTTCACTCGTTGAAGAACATTTGAGTTACTGTTACTTTTGGTTTGTGGATATTATAAATAAAGTTGCTATGAACATTTGGTTACAGATTTTTGTACAAACATAAATTTTCTTTTCTCCAAAACAAATGCCCAA